GTAAAATGACTATAACTCAATAAAAATGTTAAAAAAAAAAAAAGAAGTAGGGTTAAAAAATTTTAAATTTATCAGAAACCAGTTACCCAGAAACACCTACTATTAACACTTTGGTACATCCTTATAGACTTAATATCATGGGTGAAAATTAAGTTGGACTCATAGATCTAAAAGCTACAGTCATAAAGCTTTGAAAATTGTGACCTCAGAGTAGACAAAGTTTTCTTAGGATACAAAAAAGCACATATATTAAAAGAAAAGAAATAATTGATACAGCATTGTAAAATGACTATAACTTAGTAAAAAATGTTAAAAAAAAAAAAGGAAAAGAAATAAATTAGAATTCATCAAAATTAAAAGCTTCTGCTCAAACATACACACAGACATTAAAAAATGAAAAGGTAAGCCAGGGGCTGGGGAAAATGTTTATTTTATAAATATGACAGAGGACTTTTACCCAGAATATAAAGAATTCTTAACTCAGTAGCATAAGACAAAAAAGCCAGTTTTTTAAAAAGGCAAAAGATTTGAACAGATACTTCACCAAAGATATGCAGATGACAAATGAGCACATGAAAAGATACTCAGTGTCTTTGTTTATCAGGGAGATGCAAATTAAAGGCATACTTGGATACCACTGCACACCTAGATACCACTACGTACCCCCTAGATTGGTTGAAATTTTTTAAATGGCAATAGCAAGTATTGACAAGGGTGTAGGTCAACTGAAGTTCTAATGTGTTGATGTTAACAGTGTAAAATGATACAACCACCAGTTCAGCAGTCTGATAATTTCTTTAAAAGTTGGACATACAGCTTTCATATTACCCAGTCATTTCACTCCTGGAGAAGTGAAATCATGTAACCATATAAAGACTTATACACAAATGTTCATAATATCTTTATTCATAGCCTCCCTGATCTGAAAACTTCCTGAATGTCCAGCAACAGATGAACAAATTGTTTTATATTCATATAAGAAAATGCTTCTTGGTGATAAGAAGGAATGAAGTACTGATACGTGCAACATGGATGAATCTCAAAAACATTATATGCTAAGCAAAATAAGCCAGACATAAAAGAGTAGATACTGTATAATTTTACTTCTGTGAAACCTTAGAAAAGAGTAATCTATAATGCTGTAGTTTTCTTGGGCTGGGATTTGCAAGGTTGGGATTGATTGGAAGAGGGAACAGTGGAACTGTTTCCTCTATTAAAAGAATCTGTATTTCCACCTTCTCTTGAAAAGTTGGATAACCCTTCTCAATTAAATCTTAATTCCTGCATGGCAATCATCATTTGGAGTTGAGTAACAGCTGCCCCTGTAAAAGGCCATAAATTCTCCAGTTTGTGGCAGTTCCTACCACTGCCCCATTGTTTTACACTCAGCCTTCTTCACTTGTTTATGTTACTGCTTAGTTTTTATTGGCATTTCAGATTTGCTACCCCTGCCTCATACACTATACTGCTGTCATACTGGCCTACTCATGGCATTTCGAAGAGAAGTTAAATTTTTCTATTCCTATGGCTTTCCCAGGAGGCCTTTTCTCTTTGTTTCCTACGTGTAAAGGCCTAGTTCACCCCCTAGCAATCATAGCTAGAAAGTAGAAGCTGTATCACAGAGTTAGCTATTAGTTCTAGGAAGGACATTTGTCTTTCAGTAGATGGGCAAGGCTTCTGGTAATTAATTTGGACTGACACACAGGCAGGCAGCATTCTAGGGGTTAAGGGGTAAGGTAGACTGTCTCTTTGCCAAAAAAAGGAAAAGATTGTTCTTTAGGCAAAGGTGAATGTTACAGAGTTTAATAAGATTAAATGAAGAACTTGGAGAGGGCCAGGTACACACTGAGCTCTCAATAAGAAAAGCTTATTGATAGCACCTTCCAAATGCTTAAAACCTTTATTTAGAATGAGTATACATTTGCTCAGAATTGTTTTCTTTTATTTCCTTGAAGTTACAGAAGAACTGTCTTCTCTCCTTAACCAATTCCAGGATTCTTGTGGATGTTCCATTTGACAGGCAAGTATAAAATTTAACTATCTGATTTTGGGGTGTTGATCACTGTTACTCTGAGCATTGTTGTCTTTTGGTTATTAGCCTACCAAGAGTCTAATTAAGACTGGGATAAGGTGTTTAGGGAGAATGTTCTGTTGAGCTTCTTCCAAGAAGTGTTTAGAAGTACTGTACTTACAAATGTCTACCAAGTGTAATTCCAGTTCAGGTCAGTGGGGGTGGGAGGAACATGGGCTCCAGAGAGTCAAACATCGAACCAAGTTCTAGCTGTTCCATTATCTTTGCATTAGTTTCCTCATTTGCAAAATAGTGACTCTTAATGAAGATTGGATATGATAATGTTTATAAGGTACTTGTCACACTGCCTAGCTTAGACCTATAAGCTGTTCTAAATATTAGCTATTCTTTTTATTATTATTTTACTGATAGTAATTTTAAAAATCATCATCATAGACTCCAGAGTGATTCCTCTTGAGGCTGTTGTAATCTCTCAGATTTGTGAGTTCAAAAACATAGTTGCTGCCAACAGGAAAATTAAGCACAGTTTGACATAAACAAAGCCTATATCATTTGTGGATGCAGGGTTATAGGCTAAGCCATTCTCAAATCTAGTTAAAGTGTGTACTTAAAATGGAAATTGACTTTTAAAAATAGAGTAGGGAAAGTGGTCTTCTTCATTAAAAACAAACAAACAAAAAAAGAAATCTGTATTTCCCCTTTCTCTTGATGAATTGGAAGATCTTTCTGAAGTCAGTCTTCATTCCTGTATGGCAATCACCAGTTGGAGCTGAGGAACAACTGCCCCTATAAAAGGGCATGAGTTCTGTCTGCTTAGTGATTTGTTTCCTGTGGCATTTTAGCAATATCTACAATTCAGATTATCAGTTATTACCTCTTGAAGAACTTACTTCCTTTTTCAGTCCCATCATAGTAGAAACCAAATGCTAAAAAATAAATCTTTCTTGAATCTGTCCATCTTTCTTTGAATCTTGGGCATTTTGCTCACATTCTTTTTTGCACATTGTCCTTTTCCTCTTCTGATCTTCTTTTTACCAAGTGCTCTTGGTTTTCATAGCTGAGGCTTTAGAAGTCCAAGACTATTTTTTGTTAAACAGGAAGTTATTGGGGAGGCTAAATGATTTCTTCACTTCCCACGTACAGGGTCACAAGTGTTACTGTGAGAAAAATACTGTTTTTTAGGTTTGATGCTGCCAAGTTTGTTATGAGATGGCTCTGTAAGCATGAAAACCCCAAGATGCAAACAATGGCAGTAAGCATCACCTCAATTCTAGCCTTGCAGGTATGTGATTGCTCAAGGCAAAATTTCTTTATCCCTAGTCTTGTTGGAGCTTTGATGTAAGTCTAACATTTCACTTTTGACTTTCTGTTTGCTTATAGCTCTCACCTCAGCAAACTGCACGACTTAAAGAAGAGCTCTTCATGGCAGTTAAGGTAGATTAATTGTCACTTTTATAACCTCTTTTTTCCCAGTACAAGTAATTTATGAACATAGTTTAAAAAATTTAAATCATTCTGAAAGACCTGTAAAATGAATTAAAACTATTTCTTCTGGTATTTCTAAATAAAATGCTTATAACTGAAGTTACATGATTTATCAGTTTTAGATGTTATGTAGTGATTGTGCTGCTATGGTAAATGAAAATTTAGCGCTCTTACATATATCTCTACAAATCACTTCCTTTCCCAACCTCTAGTAAGTTTATATTACAGTTTTTAATAAATCAGTATTTATATTATGATTATGCTAACACTGATCATGAAAAATGTACACATTGTCTTATTTTGCACTTCTCTTATTCTGAGATGAGAGTTGAGACTTTTTTTTTTTTATAATTTGTAATTCCTGAACTGTCCATTCATGAGCTTTAGTTTTTCTTTTGGGTTGCTGGCTTTTTTCTCAAAGGATTTCTTTGTATGTGTAAGATGCATATATTTTTCCCCAGTTGGCTATTTGTCTGTTTTTACTTATTTTACGGTATATTTTACTATGCAGTAATGTTTTACTCTTTATGTTGTCAAATTTATTCTTTTCTTCTGTGACCGGGATTGATTGCACACTATCTATGAGTTATTTAGTTTTCCCTTATTCCATGGAGTATTTTTCAATCTATGGTTTATTTGTTCTTCCTTTTAACATGTAAATATTTTTCCTTCTCAGTGTCTGCCCAGTTGCCTCTCCAACCTTTATTGAATAATTCACCTTTTCTCCACTGTCACGCAGTGCCACCTTTATCATATATTAAATTCCCATGTATATTTGCATCTATTTCTGGGCTTTATTCTGTTTGGTTAATTCATACATGTATTTATGTGCTGTTGTGCTGTTTATTTACTAACATTATAAATCCTTTAAGAATTAAGATCTTTCCATGTGTTTCTTTTAGTTATCCTTATCTTTTTTCCTGTATGAACACCAGTATCGGCTTATCTATTTCCAAAAAGCCCTGTTTTCTTTGGGATTGTATTGAAGTTTATAGATTGACTTTGAAGAATTGACATCTCTCTCATAATGATTCTTTCTGAGAATATGTATATTATTCCATTTAGTCAGTCTTGCATGTCCTCCAGAAGTGTGGGTGTTTTCTTCATGTTGATACTGTGTATTTCTTATATTTATTCCTAAAGCTTTCACCTGTTGCACTGCTGTTAAAAGTGGGATCTTTTGAATATTTGGTAGGTAGCCGGTAGGTTTGGGGATAAAAGTCAAGAATGATTTTGGATGTGATAATTTCTGAGATGCTTGAGATATCAAGTAGGCAGTTTGATATTCGAGGTATAGCTCAGAGGAGTGGACAGGGCTAGAGAAATAGTTTGAGTCATCAGTTCTGATATGGGATTCAATCACTTAGAGTGTGTGAAGTATATGTAGAGAAAAGACAGGGTTGAAATAGGTATGTTGAAAGAAGAGGAGGAGCCAGAAAAGAAAGAGAAGGAGCATCGAAAACAAATAAGAAAACCAGTAGAGAGTGGTGTCTTAGAATCCAAGAAAAACACTTCAAGAAAAATTGAGCAATTATGTCAAGTGCTATTTAGTGATCGAGTGAGATGAGGACAGAGAGTTGACCATTGGATTTGGCAGGATGGAAACCATTAGTTATCTTGCTTACATTATTTTAGTCGGGTAGTGGGACAAAACCTGATTGGCAATATATAATGATGAGCAAATGGGAGGTGAGAAATGCAGACAACTTTTGGACATATTGTAATGAGAAAGCAGAGAAATAAAGATAGCTATATGGGGCTAGTAGTTTTTTCCCCTAAGATTAAGATGTATTTTATACCTATGAGAGTAAGTCTGAGAAAGAGGAAAATTGATGATGTAGGCAAGACAAAGGGAAATGATTTTGATGCCAAATTTTTATGTGTATGTAGGATGTATATAGAGCAGACGTAAACATACTGGCTTTAGATTGGAGCAGAAAGGAAGACAGAGTACAATGAGCACATTGATGCAACTGCAAGTAGGGTGGTAGATTTTGTTAGGAAGAATAGCAATAGTTCTCAGTGAAAAATTCGATGAAGTAATCAAATGAGAGGAGTAAAAAAGATGGCAATTAAAGTTTGAGGAGTGAGAATTATGAAATAGTAGCCTTTGGAGCAAATTCATTGAGAAATATAGTAGGATTGAATGCCCTTTTGAAAATTTTTGACAGATACTCAAAGTGAAACTCAAGCACAATATTTTTCAGTATTCAGATATTTGGGAGTGGGGTATGACTGAAGTAGGGTTTAACTAAGGTAGGAGTTTTGACAAGATGATGTGATGGAAGAACACTAAAGTTATTGGGAATACTAACAATATAAATAGAGATAGAGAGATAGACATACTAATAGAGAGCAAGTACTTAAAGTGACATGGAGGGAAGGATAGTGCTCTAGTTCTTGGAGAAACAGTTTTAGGTAGTGGTACCAAAAGTTCAGTCTTTAGATGAAAACAATCTAGGTTCAGCCAATAACTAGCCATAGACTTTAGATAATTTACTTATTTCCTCTCTGCCTCAGATTCTTCATCTGAAAATCTGGCATCTGACGTAAGAGGAATATTTTGCAGTTATTTTGAGTATCATTAAGATCAAATATGTAAAGTGTCTTCCCATGGGCCTGACCACAGCTGTCATTACTTTCAGGGCCAGCTTTACTTCCCCTGCTCCCTCCCTTGCCTTGCTTCCACTCACCATGTTGGCTGTGTAGGTGATTGTTACGGTGTTGTGTGCACTCTCATATTCTTCTTTTGGCTCTCACAGCTTTATTTTTGTGAATTCTCTTGACATATTCTCTCCTGGTTGGGTAAAATATTTGAGGTGGTCTCATTCCTTCTGAAAACAGACATAGTCTGATTTGCTTAGTGTTGTTATATTTTATGTATCTTTTCGTTAGCTAGTTAAGTGGAAATGGCTATCTTTTTCCTTTCATGTGGCCATCTAATATGCTTGAAAGAAAGCATGAATACTAGCTTAACTTGTGTCTGGAAATATTTTGATCTGAAATGATATGTTGGAATCTGTGTTAAAGTAAGTCAGTTGTTTCCTCAAGCTATAGTGCTAGTGTTGTCTTCTCATCATACTGACCTGCTCAGTGGCGTAGAACATCAGACTTTTTGGGTTTTTCTTTGCCTGGAATATCCTCCCCCTTTTCATTCCCCGTATCCCCATTCCTTGCTTAGCTGGCTTATCTTCTTTTTCTTCTGATCTCAGTTTACATATTGCCTTTGTATGGAGGCTTCCGTTGCCCACCTTTTCTAAAGAAAATTCTTAGATTTTTATGTATTTCCTTCAGAGCACTTACCAAAACTTAAAATTCTTCTATTTAGTTGAGAAAAATCCACTATCTTTTTTTTTAATCCATCTCTGTTACCTGAATAAGTGCCTGACTCCAGAAAGTGCTGACTAAAAATTCTCAATAAATGAATGGAGTAGGTAATGTATATGAGCTTAGGTGCTTATTAAACTTTAATTTTTTCCTTTTGATTCTCATAAAAACCCTAGAAAATAGGAGTAACTCATAGAGAGAAAGTGGGTCACAAAGCTATTACATGTTAGCACTTGGGTGTAGAACCTAGGTTTGGTTCTAAAGCTTTCCTTAACTATTGCTTTCCTTATACTGGAATTGAGTCAGTCAGTAGGGCATCTAACTCCCTGTCTCTTTGGTTTTTAGGAACTTCTAGCAATAGTAAAACAAAAGACTACTGAGCATTTAGATGATGTCACCTTCTTGTTTACTTTGAAAGCACTTTGGAATCTTACAGATGAGTCTCCAGCTGCCTGCAAGCACTTTATTGAAAATCAAGGATTGACAATCTTCATCCAAGTCTTGGAGGTGGGAAGACAAGATTGAGTTTATGTGTAAAGTTCTTTTCTTCATGATAAAGTAACCTGTATATTCTTTTCACAGACATTTTCAGAGTCAACAATACAAAGCAAAGTACTTGGTCTTTTGGTAAGGTGAATTGTTTTGAGTTAATACTAATTATTTACAAAAATAAGAGAACTAACACTTGTGTAGTACCTACTATATGCTGGGCACTTTTATAAGCAGTTTATATGCATTAACTTGTTTAATCTTCACCCTAGCCTTATAAAATAAATACCATTATATGTGAGTCATCTATTGTAAACAAACTATAGCTTAAAACAACAGCCATTTTATTTGTTTATAAATCTCTGGGTCAACAGTCTGAACTCAGCTCATCTGAACCGTTCTGCTGTTCTCATGTGGAATTACTCATGTAGCTGCTGTCATCTGGTGGCTCAGCTAGGGCTAGATGCTCTAGGATTGCCTGACTCTTCTCTGACCATTGGTGCAGATTGTTAGCTGGGCCTCGTGTCTCCATGGGCTTCTTCACTTAGCAGTTTCAGGGCAGTGATAGAAGACAAGTCTCACTGTACAAGTCCTTCTTAAATGTCTGCTTATGTCACATTTTCTAATGTCTCATTGGTCAAAGCAGAGTACATGTTCTGGGGTGTTTCCAACAACCACTTCTCAAACTCTGACGCCAACTGGGTATCCTGCAGTTCAATTCAGTTCAGTTCTGCCACTGGCTACACAGAGTTAGCATCAGATCCCACAAGTTAAAAGGCTCTGTCCCACAAGTCTCCCTCCACTTTGGCTGCCAACCATTAACCAGGGCGAACCCTACTACTGACTGACTGACTATAAATTGGGGTTTTCCACGACCCCCTCCTCAGGTTGGTAATTTGCTAGAATGAATGCTCACAGAAATTGGGAAGGCACTTTCCCTGCTATTATCAATTTATTGTAAGATACAACTCAGAAACAGTCAGATGGAAGAGATATGAATGGCAAGGAAGGAAGGATGTGTGCAGAGCTTCCATGCCCTCTCTGGGTAAACCACCGTCCCAGCATCTTGGTGTGTTCACCAACCCAGAAGTTCTTCAAACGCCATTGTTTAGGGGTTTTTATGAGGGCCTCATCACATAGGCATGCTTGATTATTAATTTAGTCTTCAACCTCTCTCCTCTCCCCCTGAGGTTGTGGGGTAGGGCTGAAAGTTCCAGGCTTCTAATCAAGGTTTGGTCTTTCTGGCATCCAGCCCCCATTCGGAAGCTATCTGGTTGTCTGCTCAGAGTTACCTCATTAGAACAAAGATGGTCCTATCACTCCAGAAATTCCAAGGAATTTAAGAGCTCTGTGTCAGGAACTAGGGACAAAAACCAAGTATGTATTTCTTATGCCTATGGATAGGCCCAGATTAAAGGAGGTGGCTGCCCCTTGATGGGAGGGGGAGCAAAATCACATTGCTAAAGGGCATATATACAGGGATAGGAAGAGCTGCATTATGTTCTGTATTCACCCATACATCATAACATTTTATAGATACTTAAGGCACAGAGTGGCCCTTACCCTATGATACATAGGTAGTAAGAGACAGTCAGAACTCAAACTCAGGCAGTCTGGCTCCAGACCCTCTAATATTAGCCACTTTACTATACTTCTTTAAGAAGGCAGTTGATTTTTTTAGAAATACCTTTGTTTATACTTCTATATTTCCTCTCTATTAAGATATCTTTTATTGAGAAATTTCTTTGTTTCTTAAAGATAAAGGTGAAGATTTACAGAAAGTAATGAAGACATACTGTAAGCCCCTGCAGTTTGCTAGGCTGGTGTTGTGGATGACACAGATAAGTGAAATACATCAAGATGGTGGTACTTCTAATGTTGGGGAGGTGGTGTTAGACTCTTATACAGATAGCTGTCTAATTTACAACCAACTACAGTAAGTGCTAGAAAGGAGGCACCAAGTCTCATGAGAGCGTTTGATTCTAGATCATGAACTCCTTGAAAGCAGGGACTGTGTGTTTCCCTTTGTATCCCTAGCACATACAGGACTAGGAACAGAGTAGAGGTGGAAGACTTCACAGAGAGGAATACACAGTTAACACTGGAAACCTGAAAGGTACAGAAGAGTAGAAGGAAGGGACAAAGGTCATTTTTGGCTAGGGAGGAATGAGAAAATGTAATCTTTTGGGGGACACTGTAATGCAGAATATCTGGGATTTGGGGAGAAGGTGGGAAGAAGAAAAGCAATGGGAAATCAGGCCAGAAAGGTGGATAAAAGCATCATATATCCTATACAATGCTAGATATCCTACTAGTAGCTGACCTAAGAGCGCTTTTACTTTTTGTCTTTTTGAGAGCCTCTCAGAATGCAGAGGGTTAGTGAGGTTGTCCATTTTCCTTCCTTTTTCTGAATGAAGACCCACATTCTGCTGTAGCTCCCATCTTCTCAACAGTTATGCTAAGGATGCTATCAAGCATCTCATTTCTTCTTGTTTGGGGCTACCATCTGATAGACTTAATGCTGAAGTCATGCTATTGACAGAGTATATAGCTGGCCTCGGGAAGAAGGTCAGGGGATCTAAAAACATTGCAGTTTCTGTTGAAATCATTCTATTGACAGGAAGAATATAGCTGGTCTTGGGGAAAACAAGGGGAAGATACCGTCCAGAACAGGACAGTTTTCAGCATAGGGCCTTGTGCCCTTTTCAACATACTTGTCTGTTGGTTATACTTTTCTGAAAGCAGTTTCAGAATAAGCAGTAAAACTGCTGTGTCCACTTTGACTGTGTTTCTCCTCTAAACCTTTGTTTTCTCCTCTGTGTAGTGGACAGACCCTAAGGCGACCCCCAGTGATTGCAATTTCTTGGTGTTCATGTCTTTGTGTAACCCCTTGCCTCGAATGTGGGCAGGACCTGTGACTTGCTTTTAATTAATAGAATATAGCAAAGATATCATTCCTGTGATTATGTTACAATATATAGAAAATCCATCTTGCTAGCAGACACTCTAGAGAAGTAAGTGATCAGAGAAGGGACCACATGGCAGGAAACTATGGGCAGCTTTTAGGAGCTGAGGGTGGCCTCCAGCAAGAAATTGAAACTCTTATTCCTGTAGTCACAGGAAATGAATTCTGCTAACAGTCTGAGTGAGTTTGGAGGTAGTCCCCCGACTCCACCAGTGGAGCCTCCAGATGAGAATGCAGCCCAGCCAGCACTTTGATTGAAGGCTTGTGAGACCCAGGTTAATAGGGCCTGGACTCCTGACCCACGGAAACTGTGAGATGAAAAAATGTGTTGTTTTAAGCCACCGAGTTTGTGATAATTTGTTACACAGCATAGAAAACTAATACAATATATAAAATAAAGTACTATCTGCCTTTCATTGTTACTATTAAACTTAACACTAATGTGGCATATAGTTGGCCCCAGGAGCAATAAGTTTTTGAGTCAGACCTGGATTTGTATTCCAGTTCAACCAGTTACTAGCTGTGTGAACCTGACGAGTTAGTCTTGCTGAGAGTCAAATTTCTTTGTAGAACTATTTTAAAGGTTAAATGACATAAGGCAGATAATAAGACATTTTGGTCTGTCTAGTGCAGTGCCTGGCACTTAGTAAGTGCTTAGCGATTGTTACCACTGATTGTCCTCATCATCAGGGGGGTGGGATTGTAGATGTTAGGCTAAACTGTGAGGGAGGAGGATGGGACTGTTTTTGTATGTATCTGAGCAGTAGGAGAGGAGGGGGAACCAATTCCTGATTCTCCCTTCCTCTCTTGTCCTTGGTACTCTCTGCCCCATCTCGCCTGTAGAACAACATAGCTGAAGTCAGAGAACTCTCTTCCAAGTTGATGACTGAAGATGTGGTGAAGCATATCAGCAGCTTGCTCCATAGCAAGGAATTAGAAGTCAGCTATTTTGCTGCAGGCATCATAGCTCACCTGACATCTGACAAACAGCCCTGGATATCCCATGACCTTCAGAGGAGTGCTCTTCTCCAGGATCTGGTATAAGAACCATTCCTTTTTACAAAATCCAAAGTCATCTCTTCTTGCAGAGAACTTATTCTGGATCATAAGAGTTTTTGAAATATGTGTTCATTGTAGAAAACAGGAAAGATCTAGAAAAGTATTAAGAAAACATTATAAATCACCCACACCCTACCACCCAAAGCTAATCTCTATTAACACTTTGTTGCATTCCTTCTGATATTTTTTCTTTTATAAAAGTTATACATGCAAACAATTGTATATGGCTTATTAAAGCTCTCTTTCCTACTTTGTTCTTTTTTAAGTGATTTCTTCTAGTATTTACCTCCATATCTCTACTTTTTGACTTTGCAATTTTAGGCAATATCTCTCAACTTGTTTTCCCCCTTTCTCCCTGTCCCTGTGCACATTCTTTCCTGTATTCCAAGTATACATCTCCTTTCAGTACGTTCAAACACATTCTGTCCACTTTAGCTTCTCAGAGATGTCTTTTCAAAGCCTTCTGTCTTTCTGCCATCTGATCAATGTTTTTGTGTATCTGCTAGACCGCTGTCATCCCAGATATTCCTTTACTGTCATCCTGGAGATACTCTTTGCTTTCTTGTGCTGGATTCCCCATTTCTTGGATTGCATACCTTCCTGGTTTTTTTTTGTTTGTTTGTTTGTTTGTTTTTTGGTGTACTCCCTCATTCTGTTGGATCACATTCTCCAATAGCTTTCTAAGAGATATATAAAAGAGAAAATTTGAAACCTTTTATGTTTGAAAAGGCCTTATTTTACTTTCACATTTAGTTGATGAATGGCTGGGTGTAGAATTTTAGTTCTAAAATAATTTCCGTTCACAACTTTTAAGGCATTGCTCCACTGTTGAGAAGTCTTCTGCCATTTTTCTTTGGAAGCCTAAAGATCTTTTTCTTCAGTGTTTGGAAATCACGGTGATGTGCTCTGATGTGGGTTTATTTTCATCTGTTACGTTGGCCTTACTGCTCTGGAAGGTCATTTCCTTCAGTTCTGAGAAATTTCTTTCCTTCTTTCATCTCCATCCCTCTATCTTCCTGATCTCTTTCCTCTTTTCCTTCCTCTTTCCCTGCTTTCCTACCTTCCTTAATTCCATCATCCTTTCCTTCTCCTCTCAATTCTCTCCCTCCCCTCTTTTAACTATATGGTGATCCTCAGTTGTCCATTCCTATCTAATAGTGGGGCTCTTTGGAAGGTATGCACAGATGGATGGAACTTGTCAACTGTGGGCTTCACTATAGAATGATCTGAATTAGTTGTGTATCAATGTCGGTGTCATTAGATATTTTGTCCTGAACTGGTTGGAATTTACCTGAAGAAGAATCTTCTATTCTCCTGATTGAAAATTATAAGCTTGGCTGCCAGCAATCTGAATACCCACTAGAGGAAGAGAGTTGGGGACAGGGGACCCTTAGCATTTACATTTGGATTTTACTTTAGCCCCCTGTTCTTGTCATTTGCTTATGGGGTTGCCCAGTCCAGAAATTTTTGTTAGGGATTGTAGAGGAGATCTGGGAGTCGCAGTCCTTTGGTGCTTCAACCATTCCGCCTATTTTCAATCCCGTGTCTTATCTCACTTCCTAAAGTAACTGGTGTGCCATATTTTTAAGTCTCTTGAGGATTCTGTTCAGAATGGTTTATTTTTAACCTTCCCCATACTAGATCTATTAATTCAGTTACATTTTCCTTCTGCTTTGTTCTGTGTGTGTTTGCTTTCTTTTATTTTAAACAATTTGTGCTATTCTCTTCATGGGATTTAGGGAAGGAATGGATGCATTTGCAGTCTTCTATCTTAAAACAAGCCCCCTTTTATTGCATTGTTTTCCACATGACTTTGTTCATATTCTACGTATAAAATGGTTAATCTCATTGATATTTTGTCAGGTTAGGTATACCTAAATTTAAGTAATCAATCCTGTATTTTGACATGTAACAGCCTATTATGACCCTTTAAAAATGATGGAATACAATACTAGAATCCTGGTTTCTCTTTTTGTATAGTATGCAACCATCCAGAATTGGCCAAGTTCAAGTTGTAAGATGACAGCATTGGTGACCTACAGGTAATTTCATGATGATACAGTGCTTTTCTTAAATCTTGTCCTCAGTCTACTCACTATGTACAGGCCATGGTACAGCAATAAAGTGTTAGAATCAAATAGCCTTGTGTTCAAATCTTATTTCTTTGTGATATTGGGAAAATCATTTTTAGGAAGTCTCTGAGACTTAGTTTTCTTCTTCTATAAAATGAGGCTGGCAGTATGCAAGATTGAGGGTGGAATCAGATATTGAATGTGTGATGTCTAACACAGAATGGAATTTCTTAAATGCTAGCTCCAGTTATGTGCTCAGCAATACATCTGTCTCATTGAGGAATTGACCCTGGTGGGGGAAGTGTTGAAAATTATTATTATATCCCTCATATTAGCCTGCATTCTGAGTCAGCATCTTCTTTGTACTTTTTTAGATCCTTTAAGGCATTTTTCCCACTCCTTGGCAACTTCTCTCAACCAGAGGTCCAACTCTGGGCACTATGGGCCATGTATCATGTCTGCAGTAAAAACCGTATGTATTCAAAACATAATAGTTCCCAACTATTTTTCTGTATAAGGATTAAGTTCAAGGTGGAATTTCGAAAAAATTGTTCTTCGGTGTCCTAATTTTAATTCTTTCAAAAGAAACTGAAAAACATTTGTATTAGTTTCAAAAATGCTCCTTTTGGGGGTGGATGTCAAGCAATACAGAAATGAAACTTTGCGCTCACTCCTATTCCTCACAGGCAAGTATTGTTATTAATTTGATAAGTATAACTATTCTTCCAGATAACTTTCTATATATGTACTGTATATGAATATGATAATGTTTTTAAACAAAATGGGCTCTTTTGGTACATGCTGTCTTATAGCTTACTCTTTTTCACTCAATAGTTTATCATGAATACTCCTATAGCAATACACAGATTTGCGGCCTTGTAATGGTTTGTGGGAGGCTGGGGGACCAGGATTCAGGAGTTGTTTCCCAGGCAGATTAAATGTTTTTCCATGTTTTCCTGTTTTAAATTCCCCTTGGAAGTTTTTGGCTTATATTCTTTGCTAAGAATTATTATTAAAGTTTTTGCTTTTATTATAAAAGAAATATAGGCTATAATTTTATACTAAAAACCCTAAGGTATAATGTTTAGAATTAAAGGTTTAACTCTCAAAAGCCTAAAATATCTAAAAATAGCTTTAACAAGTAATGAGACCTCTATGCAGAAAACTAAGAAATAATTTAAAAGCCTGTAGTAATTATGAGACCTATTCCTCAGTTCTTTTCAATTTATGAATATAATGCAATTCAAGTGAATGAGTAAGAGATGAGGGATCTGAAAATTATTCTAAAATTAATGTGTCAGGAAAGAACTGACCAAGAAAAATAGTTTTTAGGAGCTCGCCCCAGCACTTCTCTTTAAATGGTGCTGGCATGTGAATAGATACAGGCAGATCAGTCAGTCAGAATGGCTCTGAAACAAACTCCAGTATACTGAGTTACAACAGTACTAACTATATTGACAACTAGACCTTTGAGTATTTATTATTTGCCAGGCTGTGTGTGTTGTAAGCTCTTATGAGTAACTCATTTAATCCTCACAACACATAGAAGGAAGGGGTAGCATTATTGTTATCTGTATGCTATAGATGAGAGAAAGAGGCATAGAGAGGGAAAGTAGGTTGCTCAAAGTTAAAACAGCTTGCGCTGGCAGAGCTGGGTTCTCACTTAGTGCTCTGATTCTAGGTCACCACTATTAACTCTTTTTCTTTGAATTGCCTGTTGATATCCTTTGTTCAGTTTTTGCCTACTGTTTGTTGGTCTTTTCCTTTTTAATTTGAAGGAGCTTTTACAAATATTTTTTTCCATTTTATTGTTTTGATTTTATTCATTGTTTCCACAAGTCAGTATTTTGTTATATGGCCTCTAGATTTCAGGTCATGGTTATACTTTACAAAATTGATGAAAATTTCCAGCCATTTTCTTTTAAAATATTACCTTCCACCTATTTTCTTTGTTCTTTTCTTATAACATGTATCAGAATTATCTTGTACCTTCTCTCAACCTGTCCTGCACATTTTGTAACCTTTAAAAAAAAGTTTCTGTCTCTGTTTCTTTGTGCTGCATTCTTGGTAATAGCCTTAGAAGTGTGTTTTGGGGTCATTATTTCTTTGTTTCTAATTGGCTCTTGGACTGATTAAGAGAATCATTTTCAGACTGAGTTGTGGATATGTCCTTTCAGTACAGCTTTGTATTTGCTTCTGTCAAGTGTTCCAGAGGTTTCCCTGAGATTAGACTAATTCTTATATTAATTTCTTAGCTCAAAGTTTCCCAGAACATTTAGGATAGTATAAATTCAAACCTTCTACCAACTTGGGACTGTGGTTATAAATTCTCAGGAAGGACTTCTCCCCAGGAGCCCAGGCCAAGATAAAGATGTTTCATTGTTTTCTCTAGTCCACTGTGGGATGACCTTTATGTACTGATTTTGCTTCTAACTTCTTCTTTTCTTTTAAGTTTGATTGATTGACTGATTAAATGGAGGTACTGGGGACTGAAACCAGGACCTTGCACACACCAAGCATATGCTCTACCACTGAGCTATACCCTCTCCTCTGCTTCTAACTTCTGAAGTTAAAATCTAAATTCCTAGGTTAGCGAAAGGGCCCTAGGATAGTTGCAGGTTAGGTTTGGTCACATGAACTTTTGGTCCTTTCTGCTCTTGTGTCTGACTCCTGGACACAAATTTCTTTACTTTGTACACTCAACTGTGCATTTAAATTTTTTTCAATTATTTTTTACCCAGCACCTTGTGTTTTCAGGTTATCTGGCTCCACATATTGCCTGAAACTGAAATTTTTATTATTTTTATATTAAAAGAAGTTCTTATCCTTTTAGTGAGGATTAGAGACATTTGAAGCATAAAGTTGTCTGGAAGTAAACAAAATATCATCTATTATATTATTACACAGGTCAAGCATTGTTGGTGTATTTCTTCTGAATTGACTCATTTTATCTGTTAATTCCTGTGTCAAAGGGCTCAAATCTTTGTATTCTTTCTTCAAAAAGGCAAATGTGGTAACCTGAGAATATTTAAAATGCCAGCTTGCCCATCAAGTTTCTTTGCTTGATTTTCTTTCAGCCAGCAAATACTGCAAAATGTTAGTCGAAGAGGAAGGATTGCAGCTTTTGTGTGACATCCAGGAGCACAGTGAGGCAGACCCCCAAGCACAGCAAATTGCGACCTCCATTCTAGATGACTTCAGAATGCATTTTATGAATTATCAGAGACCTCCTCTGTGTTGAATGCCCTTTCTAACCCAAGAGGCGTAAGAGGTGCTCTCTTCCTCAATGTCAGATCTTCCTCCCTGTCAGAAATTGAATGTTGAGCTGAATTGAAACAGGTCATTGGAGTTTGTGAGTTGGTCACCTCATAGGTTTGTTTTTTTTTTCCCTCGATTTTCTGTAAGTTATGAAAAGACTGAGTGTGTATGATAGTCATAATCCCAAATCAAGTTGGAATCATTCTGGGAATACCCTTTCAGCAGTTTTGTAAAATCAAGCCCTGGACTCTGTGGGAAGACCTGTGAGCTTGTGTTGGAACAGCTGTGACAATTACTTTTCTCTACCCCTGGCCAATTTTGTAACTCTGTCAGAGGAAGGGAAAAAGACCTGCAGGGAGACCTTGATATTTATGTTAAATTTCATGTTTGAAGGAATGTCTTGAGTTGTTATTCCTGGTTATATGAAGCCATTGGAAAAGAAGTACTTGAAGAAAGTTGTAGGAAACATATGCTTATAACTGTGTTGTTAAGAAGGCAGAACCTCTGTTGGAGGGGAATGAAACTTTTTTTAAAATAGGTACCAGAGTACCTTCCGCTGACTGGGTGGTGGGAAGAGAAATGTATTTTTACGATTTTGGACATTCTACCCTTGACCTACTTTCCTTCAGCTTTACACATTAGACTGACCAGAGCATTGTGTATAACTGGGTGTGCCAGTGGGGCATGGTCAAAATTAGGAATGAGCATAAAGTATTTAGATGAAAGATTATATGGGGATTGTAAATCTCAATCCGTCAATTTTTTGAGTAGGACTGTGACCAAAACTGAGAGAAAGAGGAAGGAGTTTGCCGAAGATTTCAAGAAGTGCTCTTACCTAAAACGGAGATGAGAAAAATATGGGCTTTTCTGAGGACTAGCCTCAGCCAGAATATAAACTGTAAGAAGCTTCTGTCCTCTGCAAACCTGCTCTATGGAAAAGAGTATGAAATCTTTCTTTGCTTTATTATTGACAACTAACAAAACATGTTTTGCTATTCATCTGTTTAAATTTAAATTTTTCAAAGAAATAAATTCCTTTTTGAATTAGTCACATATTTTAGGACTAGGTTTTTGTGCTGTTAGCTGGCCAAACCCTTAACTGGAATGCTGTATACCGTCTTTTGGAATCAAATGAGGCTTATTCTTATTCTAAACCATATGCCAAACTGCTGCACTGGATAACAGGAATTGGTAACCTGCTTCCTTCTGTATTCCTGAAACCGCACTGTATTTTCTCTTTCACTCTTCTGCATGACTCCTCTGAAGGCTGTCTTAGTTTCCTGACCTGGGTTCTGTACTTTGGGACATGCTGTTACCAGATACTAGCTTAGGCTAATGTGAGGAGGGCTGGTGGGAACTAGTGCCTGTTGAGGTCCAGCTCTCCACTAGGCACCCGTCTGAGTATCTGTCTCATTCACAGCAGTCCTCTGGGAGAGGAAGGTTTTATTCTCCCCATTTAACAGCTGAGAAAAAGGAAGTTCAGTAAGGTGGTTTACTTTCCTGAGTAGATACTACTCATGTGGTTGGTGTTGATTCTAAGACCTGGGCTCTTCTGTGTTACTCTCCCTTCTAGGAAATGAGCACAACTTGGGGCACATTTGTATTTAGCAGCAAATCAACAATGTTACTGGTATATGTCCGTGCTCATAGTCTAGTGACTCCTGGGCTTGGCCAGGCATAATCTCAGGAAGCTCAGGCAGAGCTCAAATCAATTAAAGAATGACTGTAAGACTGTCCCTTCCCCTGCCTTGATCAGGAGGAGGGCTGCTGAGGTGTGCATATGTGAATATCAGCCCCCCTTTGTTTTTCTAAGAGTTCATATTACTTACCTTTGCTCATGCTATTCCCATCAGCCTTCCTCTTTGCCTCAAATGCCTATTAATCCTTCCACCTTCAACCCAGTGTTATCTGCCCATTTCCTGACTCTCCATTCTCTCCATCAGAGTTAACTGTTCTCTTCTCAGTGCTCCTGAAAGCTATTTAATGCACCCATCAAAGATTTGCCTGCCACCCTATAGCTTTCATCCGGTTTTCATAGCAGTGCTTTCATATAGTTCTTATCAGACACTGTACATAAATAATAACTCACATTTATTGAACTTGAGATGTTTTATTATTTTTTAAAATCCTCACAACAGTTTGATCATAGATGCACAAGCTGAGGCACATAGTGAGTAACTGACAGCTGGGATCTGCAGTCTGATTCCTGATGCCTGTTCAACCACTACCAGGGTTTCCTTATTATCTCTGTTGTACAGAGGAAGAAACCAGGGGTTCCTACAACCTCTTGCCATCTCTGGTGAGCACCTAATGACTGAGATGCAGAGGTCAGGCTTGAGTGCCAGCAATACAAAGGCCCAGAGGATTTTTTTACCCTTAGTTTATCATTCTAATAGGGAGAGAAAGGTATTCTCCTAAGCAAACCCGATCCCAGTGATTATCTAGCTTGGGTGAAGAATAATGAAGGTGGTAGTAGGTGGCATGGTCAGCACTTTAGTACCAGGTACTATGCCACTCATTTTATATCCATCATCCTTGTGAGGAGACTGAAGCCCAGAGAGGTGAAATGATGAAGGCTGTTGCACTGCAGATTTTCCTTCGGAATCCTGCCCTGTAAGATGCGCATTTCCCGTGCTTAACGTTAAACAGAAGTCACTCGCCAACAAATCTAGGGGGTCGCTTCTCCCTGAAAGCTGCCATGCCTTCCAGCCGATCCCGGGTGGGGATGTTCTGAAACAACATACAGAGTATTAGTTTGTGGGGAGCAGGACTAGAGGCCAATAAAGACTTGATCAAGCTTGTTCAGCCCATGACAAGGCCATCATCCAAATCTTCCTACTGTCTCTGGACTCTGGTGTTGGGCCATGCAAAGGTATGGGCCTTGGTGGCTCCTTGGTCGCCTGTGCAAGGCAGGCTGTGTCTCTATCATGAGGCCTGTCATATTAGCCTCTATTTGCACACAGCTTGCATGCCTCCAGAGAGCTCAGTCTCCTGCAGCAGTCTGAAATGAGGCTGTTCAGTAGAGAAGAAATATTAGGCTTTGCAGTAAGAAATCTGGCTTTGAATCCTGGTGTGTAGCTAGTTCACACTAGGTCCTTCAAGTCCAGGACCCCCTATTTCAGAGTATTTTCAGTACTTTGTTAACCTGGAGATTAGTATTTTTGAGTCACCCAGGAGTAGGGGCTAAACAGGTCAGCCCCAGGTTTACTGCCCTACCACCAAATGCACACAGCCTATAGGCTATATAACCAATGCCTTGGCATCCCACTCGAGCCTGGTTTTAATAGCACCCACTGGTACAGAGACCACAGATGCTACTATTCTTCTGTCAAGTACCTCTGTGATTCTCTGGGTACCAAAGTGGGGCAGGATGTACCACCATTAGATGGCTGAGGAAACAGTCCCAGAGAAAGGCAGTGTGTTCCCCAGGGCTCACCCCAGGCTAAGTGTGAGAAGGGAGTGGCATGGAGTCTAACTCTGGGTTGGAAGGAACCTACCAAATTGATCATGTAGTACAGAAGGCCCCCAGCCTCTGCTTACAGGCATGGATGGACTGGCAGCAGCCACGTACCTGGGCATAGCATATCCCTTCAATGGCCATCCCTGATGCGATGTCCACCTGCGAGAAAGAAGTGATACGTGGATCAGTCTGACCTTGTCCACCTCCATCTGCACTGGGAGCCAACCTGCCCTGCTCCCTACACCACTCCACTGTTTCATGGATTCTTCTAGCTAAGAATTACTGAGGCTTACTGTATGCCTGCCTGTATGAACAGAGATGAGTATGATAGGAATTCCCTCCCTTGAGAGGGCGCACCATTCATAACAGTGGTAGATCAGTGCTGGGATGAATGGGGGCTGGGGGAATAATGGAGGATTGCACACACAGCCTCTAGAGCTGAGGAGGGTGTGTGTGCACTGTGTGTGCACAGCCAGTCTTCCTTCTTTCCTCACCATGCCTCCTGTCACCCCTATTAGTGAAATCTGAGGCCTTCTGTGCCCTTAGGACTAAGGCCCTGGGCCTTTATGACTTGGCCCCCCGTCGACTTCCCAGCCTCTACTGCCCGGTGCTTGCTATTACTACCACTTACAAGCACTATTCTATGAAAACTCATTTACTTTTCACAACAAGGGTTATTACCCCTACTGTACATCTGAGAAAGCTGAGGCACAGAAAGGGGAAGCCATTTGTCTAAGGGCACAGTAGTAGATGGAAATGCAGGTCTTTGAACCAAGACAGTCCAGCACCAGAGCCCGTGTCCCTGACCTCCATGCTGTGTTGTCTCACCCCTTCCTCACATGCATTTGAGTTGCTTATCAATAACCTGTGTTTTTACTCACACTTTTCCACTTTTCTGGAATTCTCATCCCTCCCTAGGCTCAACTCTAGAAAACATTCTTTAGCCCAGCACTATCTGATAACATAGCTACTAACCACTGGACAGCACAGCTCTAACCTCTCCAGGGTATCTGCTTAGCACCCTTAACCTTTTGTTAGTGATTTGATGTCTGTGTCTGCCCCACTCCCCACCTTGGGGCCAGTGACCATACCTGATTCATTTCTGTGTCCTGAATTAAGGTGTAGTTTCAGTGTGTGCTGAATGAATCGAAGAGTTAGTTGATGTCGGGGGATAGCTTAGCTGCAGCCAAGGAAACACTCTGTGCCCTGTCCATGAGGCCACATTACTGACCACCAACACAAACCCGAGAACGTGCACTGGGAGCCATACAGACCTGGGTTCTTGAAACTCACTTGCTCTGTGACCCTGGATAAGTCATTTACCGTTTCTGAACCTCAGTTTCCTCTCCAAGGGGAAGAGATGAGGATAAAATGTAATTTGGAATATTGCCTGGCCAAACCTCATTTTGTAGATGGGTAAAGGTAAGGCACAAAGAGAGGTCAGACTTGAAGCCTGCTAGAAGAGTCCAGTTCCTGAGCTCTTTCCAGCTGTGCTGTCCATCTGTGTGCCGTGAAAGCACACCTCCCAGCCACCCCACTGACTTTAGTGGACCCAAGTTAACCCAGAACCCTCTCACCTCCATTCCTCGGTCAATGGCTACTTTGCCTAGCCGCACAGCAATGGGGGCCTAGGGAAAAGAAAAGTCTTGGTTGAAGAGGGGATCAATGCTCATAGTTAGGCACATAGCTCCACAGTGGGGAAAGAAGTTTAGGTTGAGTTCTAGCTGTTTTACTGACACTTACGTTTTGTTAGTGTTAGTACCTACTACTTCCCAGTTGATGTTCATTTTCTATAATGAAAGAAGCCTAACTGATCCTTGACCTTCCCAATCCTGACCATCCTGACCATCCTGACCATCTAGGAATCTTGTCATTTAATCCATCCATCCAACATGTATAACACTCCATTTTCCAAATGCTCTCCCACCCAGGGTTGTCTTTGGTCTAATGGTGTTACACACCCTTCAAGGATGGTGCCATGTTTAACTGAGGCTCAGGGTGGTGAAGCACTTGACCACATTTGTCCAGTGAGTCAGTGGTAAGGCTTGGATCTGATTCCCAGTCACCTTTCCCTCTGCTGCCCCCTTCCTCTACCCCTCATTTCAGCAAATGCAGGCCTCTGCTACAAGCGAGTTTTACCCCAGGAGGGTGAAGACAGGTCACGATTAGGAACTTGGGCTTTGGAGTCTGACAGGCTTGGGTTGAAATCCCCAGGGGGCATTTTGCAGGGCCACTGGGAAGGAAGAGCATCAAAGTGGCTGTTTGTAAGAAAGACTGTCAGAAAAAGAATGATTTTTAAAGTCTGTTAGCATAGAAGCCATAAAATGCAAGAGCTAGCTACATAAAAATGAAGAACTTCAGACTGGGAAGCATACCACAAATAAAAGGTGAAGGTCAACAACTGAGAAAATACATTCATGATACTTATGATAGAAGAATTTCCTTATATACACACAAACACAGACATATAGATATAGATATAGATACAGATACAGATATGTAGTTGACCCTTGAACAACCTGGGGGGTTAGAGGCACCAACCATCCACGCAGTAGAAAATCTGCATATTAACTTTACAGCCAGCCCTCTCTATACATGATTGTGCATCTGAATTGAGCTGACCTCGGATCATGTAGTACTGTAGTATGTATTTAGTGGAAAAAATCCACGTGTAAGTGAACTCACACAGTTCAAACCTGTGTTGTTCAAGAGTCCACTATGAGTGTGTGTGTGTGTATGGATTATTAGAAATACCAATAATTTTATGTTATTTGGAAATGAGGAGAGTGAGTCACATTTTGGCCACAGAATGTTCCATTCCTTTGATGTGCAAGTGGAAAACACAGCCAAATCCATATTCAAAGAATAATGTATATTTACTATTTAGGTGGAAAATCTCAGTGTTAAGTTGTGGACCTTGTGTTTATTGACAGTCTTTTGAGCTCTAATCTCAAACCATTTGACTCCCTAGTCTTGGTGGTTTGTCCACTAGAGGGCAGCCTCTACCACACCATCCCTGGCACTCACTCCATCGAGGAACCCTCACATCCTTGGCACCTAGTAACTTAGCTGGAAGTTGCAGATTTGTTTTTCAGGTTGCATCAGAATGACCCAGCATTTGGATTAGTGATTGTAATAATAATTTTTGGTATGATGGTGTTTTGATATACAAAGCTGCTTTGAAATACTGAAATACTAGTAATTATATTGGTAGAATACCATTATTTCAGCATATTAAAAAATCTGGAGTCTGAATCATCTAGAGATCAAGCTCAAAGACCCAGTTATTTAGTTTATGCAAAAAGTCAAGCCCTTTGGTCTATGAGTCTTGCTAGATAAGCCCCCTCTGTGGAAGTATAATCAACCACTACCCTGAGTCACTCAGTTTTATATTAGTTCAGAGACTTTCTGACCAAGTATAACAGAAACCTGACAGCATTAAAATTGTCCAGATGACAGAATCAGACTCTCCATTTATATGTGATGAAACTAAAAAAGAAGAAATGAAGACAAAACAAATGCTTTCTTTTAAACCAAACTCACTATCAGTTTTTTAAAGTTTTAGTCCCTGCCCTCAAAGAAGACCTCAGAGTTACAAAAAAGACAGGATTATTTAAGGGACAAAATTTTTTTCCAAAATAAAATACTTCTTTAAGTTTTTTTCATGATTAATTCAAATACTTTTATCTGTTAATATTAAAATGATAAAGTATAGTTAACATTTTATAGGCTTATATTTTAACTTTGTAACATGTTTGTAATTTTTTAATTTGAAATTCATTAGTTTGTTTTTTAAAAATTTGTACATGTTCTGCACTCCTTAGAATAAAACACGTTTTTATACTGTAATCTGCATCATGCAAAATAAATGCCAAAATACCAGTTACCGACTTTCTGGTGATACAGTCACTTTCTTTGATCTTGAGCCTTTTTGGGTCTGTTATGTCACAAATACAGTGGGGATAATCAACTCAACTGGATTGTTCTAATAATTGAGACACTATTAAAATACCTAGAATTCTGTCTGATGGGTGGGAGGTGCTCCACATGGGCCAAGTCAGTATTATAAATTAGTAAAACCTAGTTCTGTTTCAGTTCCTTCCATATCGTTGTGGAAACTTCGGACCTCCCGTAGAGCAGTGAGCAGCCAGTGGAACCTCTCACGTACTTGGAAATTACACTTAGGCGGGACCTAAACCCACTCCCTGGTCTCTAAACCTTTTGGGAGCCTATGCTTTTAGGCTATTTGAGGATTTTAAAGTAATGGGTCTTAACACATGTCCTACATCAAGTATTTCAAAAATTTTTCTGCCATGTGGTATGGTCAGAGAAATGGGCTGGTAGTTCTTTATCTGCTTTAGAATCTTGCCTTTTCAGTTTGGGGGACTTTTTAATGCAGTACTGTCCAGTGCAGTCACCAGTAGCCACATGTGGCTATTAGCATGTGAAATGTAGGAAGTGTAATTGAGAAACTAAATCTTTAACTTAAATAACTACATGTAGTTAGTGGCTACCTTAGTGGATGGCACAGGTAGAGAGCATTTACATCATGTCAAGAAGTTGGTTTACGGTGCTCTTCTGAGGATTTTCAAGCCCATTTGATTCCAGTCCCTCATAACTACTCAATTTTCATTTTAACTTAAAATTTGATTTATTTACTGGATGGCTGAATGGATGCAAAAACTCCAAAGAGGGTTAATAAGTCTGGATAAATGGATCTTGTGCAGCCCCAGAGACACCCTGGCCTCCCCACGTGTGAGTCCCCCATGGCACAGGCCCTCCTGTGCTGTGCTGCCGCCACACCTGGGGCAGGATCTCCTGGGCCAGTGCTCGTGCCCGGTGGTAGGCAGCGTTGCCCTCCTCATTCTGGGCCACGGCGTGGTTCACCAGCCCCAGGGCCTGGGCCTGCGTCCCGCTCAGTCTTCGGCCTGTGAAGATGAGCTCCTTCGCCAGGGCCACCCCCAGGCATCGAGGCAGCCTCTGAGTCCCTCCTGCCAGGATGGAGTAGGGGTGGTGAAACCGCATGGGAAGTGGGAACCCAGAGAAGGCCTAGCCTGGGATTCAGCCAAGACCTCCCAGAGGAGCAGACTGAGTTAGAATGGCAGGGCAGAGCCGGAACATGGCAAAAAAAAAAGCAGGGAATTTGCTGGATAGAGTGGAATTGAACAGATAAGAGGAGAAAGATGGGTGTGGTGGGTTGAGGTTACCTGCTCCTGGGAGGAGCCCTCGGGTGGTCTCAATCAGCCCCATGACAGCCGAGGAAGCTGCTTAAACAGAACAGAATGAAGCCCCCACCCTGTCTTCCAGTGCCAATCCCCAAAGAGAAGAGACACCCCTCCGTGGGCTCTGCTTACCCTTCCAGCCAACCACTTCCCTCACGGTGTGCCATAGCCAGACTCCTCCAGACTCTACCTTTGGAAGAGCCCTACCTAGCCTGGCAGTCAGGAGACCCAGGCTCTCATTCTGCCTCCCTCACTGGAGGTGTACATCACCAGGCAAGTCTCTTTCCCTTTCTGAGCCTCAGAGGTGGGAAAAAGATGATTACCCTACTTCTGCCTGCTTCAGAGAGCTGCCAAGGATCACAAGAGGTAAGGTCTTTGGAACAAGGAAGGGATTCCTAGAAGGTGCCCAGCACCTATTTGTGAGTTAATGGATTCTCTGCACAAGACAGAGAACCCATTAACTCACAGGTCTGGCCTCAAATGTCAGTGACTCCTGCTCCCACCAGTTATTCCTCCTAGCTTTTTGTCGGCCTGAAATTTCCCCGTGTTCTAGTCCACATTCTTCTGAATTCACTCAGCACAGGCCATCTGGACCATGCCTTGTGCATGGGAGGGAAGGGTTTTCCGTGCACTCTCCTATCCACCAAACCCTGCAAGACATGGGCAGGTGAGAAACAGAGTTGGGGTTATGACCTGACCTGGTATTTTGATGCCTTCTCTTTGATATGCATCATGTAGATATAAGCTCTCTCTATGCCTGGAGTTAAACATTTTTAAAAAATTTTCTTTCTGGGTGGCAGAAGCAAGCAGTGAAGGGAAGCAAGTAGCCCCATGATGGCACTCAGACTTTTTCCGATTGCCTCCGAGAAGGACACACTCAACCAAGTCACTAAGGTTAAAAAAAAGGTTAAAAATTGATTATCATCATCTCCCTTGACTCTTCAAAGCTCAATTTCTCTGAACAAGTAACACAAACCTTGGCAGTGCCAGTGAACCAGAGGGCAATGCTCCTGTCCAGGGATGTTTGTGATTAACTGGGTTGGTGACAGATTGTCTCCGTGACTCATCTTTATTCAAAACATGACTGATAAACAGACTTGAAAGGTTAAATAATTTATCTTTGCCCTCAGCCTTTCCTCTCTGCTCTTTTTGCTGTCATGTCAGCAGTTCCTCTGGCCTTGGCAGGAGCTTTCCTGAGTAGAGGGCAGCTGGCCCTGAGAAGTGATGGGTACCGCTGTAGTCAGGGGCTGGGCCAGGAGGGGAACCAGCTTCTGCCTCAACTCCCTGTGTCCCCCACCATGCCTTTAGTTCTGCGGTTGGTGGAAAGCCAAAAGAACCCCAGAAGTAGCCTGTTTCACTCACTCTTCCCTCCCCACCTTACCCCACCTCTCCCTCTGCCCCGTACCTGCCACTCGGAGATCACAGGCCAGGGCAAGTTCCAGGCCTCCACCCAAGGCAAATCCATCCATTGCTGCGATGGTGGGTGCAGGGAAGGCCGCTGTCGGGGTGAAGAAGGGCTCAGCCTGCGAGGCCCTGGCAGAACCAGGACAGGGACTCGGGATGGGAGGGGCTAGCTGGTTAGGACAGAGGGCCTCACTGGTCCCAGGTTTGAGGACCTTACTTGGTACCTCAGCCAGGTTACCTTAGAAGTGAGGTCAGCTGAGGAGCGGCAGTGGGGAGATGGGCTGGATGATCCCTACTAAGGCCCACTCTCCTGCTCGCCTCCCTAAGATCAGCCTTTTTGCTATCCCTTCTCATTCTGTGTGCCAAGCCCTGTGCTGGGTGCTGGGAACACAGAATTGAATAACATATGGGGAGGCAGACCTATCACTCCACTGACCCAGGGTGATCAGTGCTCTGACAAAAGAAGCTTGGAGGATGGGTCAGGGACAGCTTCGTGGAGGAGGAGGTACTGGTGGTCTTATAAAATGAATAAAAAGTTAAGATGGCTAAGGAGGGATATTCCAGGCAAAAGAAACAGCAATTGCCAAAGCCTAAAAGCATGCTTGGTGAAACTTGACTCCTTTAGAATAGCCAGACTTACACATGGAGGGCACAGGGGTTAAGGGTGGGAACTAGCAGAGCACAGGCTGAGGGGCCAGGGTTCCCTCTGGAAGGAATGCCCTCTGAACCCTCTTGGCACCCTCTTCATAGAATTCCTTGTCATCCTTGCTCCCCTCCGCCCCTCTAAGGTCATCTGTCTCTTCACAGAGCTCACAACAGAAACTATTTTCTCATCAGAGTAGAGGATGGTGGGTGGGGTAGGGCTGGGATCAGCAGGACCCCTGAATGACCTCCCCTCCCCATTCCAGGACCCTCACCAATCTCATTCATCAGACCTCGGAGCCGCTGGACAAAGACCCCCACCTCCGCGTTACTCATCTGCTCCCGCTCCTTCAGGTCTGCACCTGCAGATGGTGAGGGGTTGGTGACAGCACTTGGGAAATGACCTGTTACTGAATCCCAGGCTGTCAAAGGATCCAGCAAAGGAAACTGGAAGAGAAGCAGCCAGAGAAGGAGAAACACAAGGAAAACATGGTCAAGGAAGCCAGGGAGGGAAAGGATGGGGGCAGTCAAAAAAGAGGTGAGACAACAACAAAAAGATAAACTGGACTTAATCAAAATTAAACATTTCCAAGCATCAAAGGACACTAATCAAGAGAGTGAAAAGACAACCCATGAAATGGAAGAAAATATTGGCAAATCACATTATCTAATAAAGGATTGATATCTAAGATATATAAAGATCTCCTACAACTAAAACAAACCAACAAACAAAACCTACAAAGGACAAAGGACTCGAATAGACATTTCTCCAAAGCAGGTAAGCCAGTAAGCACATGAAAAGAGCCCAACATCATTAGTCACTGGAGAAATGCAGATAAAAACCACAGTGAGATACCCCTTCACACCCATTAGGATGGCTATTATAAACAACAAATAAAAAAACAAGTGTTGGTATGGATACGGAGAACCCCAGTGCATTGCTAGTGGGAATGTAAAATGAAACAGCTTCTGTGAGAAACACTGATGGTTCCTCAAAAAGTTAAATTTAGGATTATTATATGGTCCAGCAATTCTACTCCTAAGTGTATACCCCAAAGAACTGAAAGCAAGGACTCAAACAGATACTTGCACACTAATGTTCACAGCAGCATCATTCACAATAGCCCAAAGGTGGAAACAACCCAGGTCCATCAACAGATGGACGAATAAACAAAATATGGGCTATACATACAATGGAATATTATTCATTTTTAAAAACGAAGGAAATTCTGCCGTATGTTACAACATGGATGAACATGAAGGACATTATGCTAAGTGAAGTAAAACAGACACAAAAGGACAAATGTATGACTCCACTTGAATGAAGTACCTAGAATATGTAAATTCATAAAAATAGAAAGTAGAATAGAGGTTACCAGGAGTTGGGGGAATGGGGAGGAATTGCTTAATGGGTACAGAGTTTGTTTGGAATGATAAAAATTTTCTGGAAATGGACAGTGGTAATTGTTGAATAACGTTGTAAAACCCAAAAACTTTTGGTCAATTAATCTGACAAAGGAGGCAAGAACATACAATGGAGTAAAGACAGTCTCTTCAGCAGATGATGTTGGGAAAACTGGATAGCCGCATGTAAATCATTGAAGTTAGAACACTCCTTCACACCCACATAAAAATGAACTAAAAATTGCTTAAAGACTTAAACATAAGACAAGACACTATAAACCTCTTAGAAGAAAACATAGGCAAAACAATCTGACATAAATCTCAGCAATGTTCTCCTAGGGCAGTCTACCCAGGCAACAGAAATAAAAGCAAAACAAACAAATGGGACTTAATTAAACTTACAAGCTTTTGCACAGCAAAAGAAACCATAAGCAAAACAAAACACAACCTACAGAATGGGAGAAAATATGTGCAAAAGGTGAGACTGACAAGGGCTTAATTTCCAGAATATAAAGACAGGTCATACAACTTAAAAAAAAAAAAAAAAAAGAAACCCAATCCAAAAATGGGCAGAAGACTGAAACAAGCAGTTTGCCAATGAAGACATACAAATGGCCAATAGTCACATGAAAAAAATGCTTAATATCATTAATTATCAGAGAAATGCAAATCAAAACTACAATGAGGTATCCCCTCACACCAGTCAGAATGGCTGTCATTCAAAAGTCCACAAACAAATGCTGGAGAGGCTGTGGAGAAAAGGGAACCCTCCTACACTGGTGGGTGGAAATGTAGTTTGGTGTAGCCCTTATGGAAAACAGTATGGAGATTACTCAAAAGACTAAAAATAGACTTACCATATGATCCAGCATCCCACTCCTGGTTATATATCCAGAGGGAATGCTAATTCAAAAAGATACATGCACCCTAATGTTCATAGCAGCACTATATACAATAGCCAAGACATGGAAACAACCTAAATGTCCACTGACATGACTGGATAAAGAAGTTTGGTATATTTATACAATGGAATACTACTCAGCCATAAAAAACAATGCCATTTGCAGCAACATGGATGGACCTAGAGATCGTCATTCTAAGTGAAGTAAGCCAGAAAGAGAAAAATATCATATGATATCAGTCATATGTGGAATCTAAAAAAAGACAAAGAACTTATTCACAAAACAGACTCAGACATAGAAAACAAACTTATGGTTGGGGAGGAGGGGTGGGAAGGGATAAATTGGGAATTTGAGATTTGCAGACACTAATATAGGCAAAATAAACAAGCTCATACTGTATAGCACAGGGAACTATATTCAATATGTTGTTACTTTTGGTGAAAAGAATATGAAAACAATATATGTATGTTCATGTATGACTGAAGCATTATGCTGTACACCAGAAATTGACACAACATTGTAAACTTGTGGGAGCACACTCATATAAGTAGGGCTGCAATGCAGAAAACTGCTGCTCTTTGCCTTACTTATCTTAGATGTAGGTTGGTAGCTGCAGGGCTGCTTCTGCTTCTTGGAAAAACATTACCTTTAGCCCTTGCTGAAAACAGCAGGACATTCTTCGCTAATCTAGTTAGATTTTGAACTTTGTGGAGTGCTTGTGCCTGGTTTTCATTATCGATTGTATACTCCCTAAACATTGTAAACTTTTCCCTAAATATATAGATTGACTAATGTTTCTGTTTTTCACGAAACTGCTGACCTGCATACCTGCATGTACACCATGCCCCTTGCACATTCCTATGACGTGTTTTACTTTCATCCTTTGTTTGACTATTCTCAATAAATACGAGAGTTTTGGAGGGTCTCAGGGAGTTGGTCTCCGGCTCCCTCTCACTCTCTTGACTTGATAAAGTCTCGAGTAATTCATTCTCCGTGGTGGGTCTTTGCTGGACAAAGCCCACAAAACTGACTATATTTCAATAAAAATATATATGTATCTCCAAAAAACAAAACCTTGTAAATGTACTTAATGCCACTGAATTTTACACTTCAAACTGGTTAAAATGTAAATTTTGTAATGTATATATTTACCACAATTAAAAAATATATAAAATAAAAATTTGTTGTTTATTTTTTTCCAGTTCGAGAAATAATTGACATATGTCACGGTATAATTGATTATTTTTACAAGAAGGGGTTGGTGGGGTCCAAGGAGGCTGAGAGGTCAAGTGAGACAAGCACTGAGAAGTGAGTTCAGGACATGGAGGCACGGAGGTGGGCATGCACCCTGGTGAGAGTAGTGACAGTGAAGTGGTCATAAAAGGCCAGATGGCAGGGGCCTGAGGCCGGATAGAGGGGTGGATATAGTCTCTGCAAGTCCTAGACTATATGAAAGGCAGCTGGGAAGATCCTCAGAAGTCTTTGATTAGTTCCAACCCCTCAGTGTCAGATGGGGAAACTGAGGCCCAGAGAGGGACAGGGATAAGCCTAGGATTCCTGAGCAAGTGGGGCAGATCCAGACCTCCTGCACCCTCTACTTCCCCGCCCTTAGCTAGGATAGTGAAGAGGGGTTAACAGTGGGCATGAAGTGACCATTATAGAAGAGGTCAGACAGAGATGGAGCCAAAGGAAGAGGTCAGGGTAGGATGAAGGCCTCTGCCAGGGCAGGGGGTCAGGCAGACTGGTGTGCATACGTATTCTGCCACAGCAGACCCCAAGGTGGTCCCCACAGCTGAGACCTAGGGATGGAGCCACACCTCCCTAAAACCTAAGAATCATGGTCCTCCCATCTTATTCCCTCCACAGCCTCTTCCTGCCTCCCCAGGGCCCCCTCCCCAGTCACCCCAGAGTCATTTCTTTTCTTTGAAACAAAGTTCATGGTGCTTGCCCTGTTGTGAGGACCAAATGGTGCAGGAACTTTGAAGAGCTTTGCTGACAGGAACTGAGATCTTTTAGGTGGGCAAATGGGCAGAGAGTCCCATCTTGGGCACAGACCTTGTAAATGTCTTTGGACTCAGTTTCCTCATTTCCTCAATGAAGGGTCAGAACAGAGTGTGGTGTAGCACAAAGAACAAACATTTGGGGGGCAGAGAGGCCAAGTTCAAACTGAATTCTTACTAGCTGTATAACCCTAGGGAAGGAATTTTTACCTCTGACTCTCTGAGTGCACATCTATAAAATGGGAATAATGAGTTCTCTGCTAGAGCTGACCTAAGCACCAGCCTCTCCCCACCCCCACCACGCCCTGCATTCTGGTGGGAGCCCAGCTGAGCCCTGAGGTGTCAGTGAGGGTCAGGGAGGAAACCCACCTGCACAGAACACACCCTTCACTCCGCTTCTGAAGATCAGGACACGCACTTGCCGGTCCTCCCGCAGCTGGGCCAGAGCTTCCAGCAGCTGCAGAGGAGACCTCGTCAGAATCCTCCCAGCCCAGCCCCAGCCCACCCTGGGGCCCGCCCTTCCTCACCTCGCTGACAAAGACGTGCCCCAGGGCATTGCGGGCTCTCGGTCTGTTCATCAGAATCTCAGTAATTCCTGCAGGGGACAGGACAGCCTTGGGTGAGCCAGCTGGCCTGCTCACTCCTGGGCTGGGGCCTGGGATCTGGGCAGCCTCTACCCTTGATGAGCAGTGTAACCTGGGGCAAGTCACACACACCCAGGCCTCAGTTTTCCTGACCATAAAATGGGGAGAACAGCCCTTGCCCTTTCTGCATCACAGAAGTGGAAGGACTTGTGACCCTTGGAGCAACAATGGGGAGACAGACAAGAAAGACTGCCACAGTGGTTCTGGCCTGTTTCTGCCATTGTGACACGCATACGCACATGCACACATACTCCTTCAATTTCATGTAACTCTCCACATTATTGTTTTCTCCATAGTCAGATTTCTTCCTCTCAAATTGAATGAGTTATAAGACCACCACCCAGAAACCCCTTCATGTGCTCTGATACAATCGTTGCTCTGCCCTCCCCCGAAAAGTAAGACTCTCCTGACTTACAGTGACCATTTCAATGCATTACTTTATAATTTTATCACTTAAATGTGAATTCCTAGACATTACAGTTCAGCCTTGCTAATTTAAAAAAATTTTTTTAAGACAAATCAAAAATTTTTTTAAATTATATCTTAAAAATGTGTTAAAGTCCTCAGGTTCTGCCTTTAGCCCTGTCTTTCCCTCAAAAGTTATTTATTAAGGAATGTGGGGCATTTGACCTGTAGGGTTTCCTGCAGCATGAAATTTACTGATTGCACACTCATGGGGCAAGTCAGCAAGCTCCTGTGTCACAAGAATTTAGTCACTGATCCAGAGGCTTGAACACGCTAACATCCTGTCCTCTTTGGCAAGAGAATAACCTCTGCCCTAGTGTGTGATGTTCTTTCACCAACAACAGCCAAGCTTCTTGAAAGGGTTTCTTGTACTGAGTCACTTTATTGCCTTCCACTCACTTACAAGTACATTATAATATGAGGTCATGAGTAAGGTGAGTGTATAAAGTACTAATGGATTACAGATGGCAGCTCACAGATGGAAGCATCTGAGCAAAGTGAGGATAGCAAGTATTGTTATTTGAAGAGTGAGGCCTGGTGGGAAAAAAATTCTATAGGTAAGGGACTACCCAACTTTTTTAATGTTGCAGTTCCTAAAAGGTCAGTCCAGGAGCCCTTTATTCAATCGTTTGCACAATTATGTATTTAACACATGCTGGCCTTTGTACTAGACACTGATTTCAGAGACCAGGACAGACTCAGTTCCTGTCCTCTTAAATCCTACAGTCTAAAACAGGAGACAGACATTCAACAAATAATTACTATTTGTGATGAGAACATAGGGAAAAACAGGACAAGGAAGTGGGACATAGAGAGTGGACAGAGGGGACCCCTAGTGTGGAAGGTCAGCAGTGACTTCTGGAGGAGGAAGTGACCATTAAGCTGAGAGCTGAGGAGTGAACAGGAGTCAGCAAGGCAAAAGTGTATGTGTGTGTGTTTTTAGGGAGGAGAAGCCCATCCAGACAGGGATAGTGGTAGGGATGAGGGCCCTGAGGGTCACAGAGCAGGGTACTGCAGGGTTTGAGCTGGGCCTGAGAACTAAACCAAGATAAAACAGATTAACTGGAGAAAAGCACACACATTTATGTAAGTTTTAAATGACATAAGAGCCCTCATAAGGAAATGAAGACCTCTAGAAATGGTGGAACCTACATGCTTTTATAGTAGGCTGAACAAAGAGCAGTAATTGTGGAAAAGTAAACTATGGCGAGGGGAGGGAGCTGCTAATGGAAGGTAAGAACTATTTTAACAAGAGATGTTTGTCCACAGTTGTCTGTTGTACAGAATTCTCTCGGCTTTGACTCCCTGTCGAAGAATGTTTCTTTTCTTCAGGTTCAGGGAGAGCATCTTTCATATAGGAGTTTTTATCTCCTGTTTTCAGGCAGAAAAGGAGCGATTAGGAGGCCCTTCTTGCATCTGCTGTTTTTTCAAGGGCCTTGAGCTCAAAAAATTCCTTATACCAATGTGGCATATTGTTGGGAGGGGGGACATATTCTGCCACCTTTCAGTAGCTTCCAGAATGGAGGGGTTCAGAGCAAAGAGAGAGAAGACTGAGGTGAGGCAGGAGAGTGAGGAGGGCCGGCGCTTGCTCGTCCGCCCCTTCTCCTTCTTCCACACCTCCCGTGTGCTTGCCTCCCGTACACCAGGGCTGTGCTGCACACCTGGCCAGCTCTTCTCTGAGCTGCAAGCCTGAATATCCAACTCCACTTGACACCTCGACCAACAAGTCCAAAAATGATCAACCCTCCTCCTGCTCCCTTGGTGAATGAATGACACAGCAGAACTGTTGCCTCCCTGTTCCTCGCCCTTGAAGTCTACTCAGTCTCCGAGACCTGTCAATTCAGTAGACCTCTCAGCTCACATCCCTCCTTGCAGCCACGAACCTGTGTGGGCTCCTTCCTCGGTTACTGGCCCTCTGCCCTGAGTCTTACCTCCCGTGGCCCCTCCACAGTCATTCCCTCATTTGGATCAGAGTCATCTTTCTAACGCAAATCTGACCACATCCTTCCCCTTCCCTCTTCATTAAAACTAAGCCCATTTCCTTAATTCCACTCAAAAGACCCTCTACAACATGGCCGTTGCACCCTACTCTGGCCTTAACTCACCCCCCGCAAATGTGGGCCAGGTACGGTGAAGAGAGACCAGCTCTGAGCAGGGGCTCAAATACTTTTATGCCTTCTCGGCCATTTCCCCTCTTGTAAAGTATCAGGATGGACTAGAGGAGTGCTTACCAATTTTATTATTTTCTCGCAGGGTACTCAGCTGTGTCGGTGGAACAAGCAGGATTTCTGATGATGGCCATTTCAGTGAATTGATCTGAGACACCAAGAAGGGCCAATGAAAGTTTCAGGGCTCTTAAGGGATAGAGTTTCCAGCCACAGTTATAGAAATGCAGTCCAGGACAGAGAACTGTAACATTCAGGCTATCTGGGCTTCCTTAGCCTCCCCAGAAACCTTCAAAGAGCTCTCTGAGCCCTGCAGTTTCCACCAAGGAACTCAGATGTCCCCAAAAGTCTTCTCCAGCTCTTCTCCAGATGAGAAAATGCTGCAACTTTGGGGAAATGAAACTGTGCTGGATACAGAGAAACCATATCAGAGGGGTTGAGGAAAACAGTCTAAGTCCAAGGTTATTGTGGTGGACGGACCTTAGTGTGGCCCCAGTATCTGTTCACATTCTGAACAGTCACCTTCCCTTGAATGTGGGCAGGAGGTCATAAAATATCACTTCTAAGATTAGGTCCAATTACTTGGCAAAGGTGATAAGATATTACTTCTCTGATTAGGCTGTGATGTATAGAAGACTCTGTGTTGCTAGCGTACACTAGAGAAACTGGTGGACCTATGGAGAAGGTCATGTGGCAAGGAACTGTGGACAGGCTCTAGGAGCTAAGAGTGGCCCCCTGGCCATCAGCAAGAAAACAAGACTTTAGTCCAGCAGCCACAGGAGGTGAATTCTGTCACCACGTGAGGAGCTTGGAAGCAGCTCTCTCCCCAGCCAAGCCTGATGAGACCATAGCCCTGGCCAAGTCCTGGCTTGCAGCCTGCTAAAACCCTGAAGCAGAAAACCCCACTAAGTTGTGCCTGCACTTCTAACTTACAGAAACCATGAGATAATAAACGTGTGCTATTTTAAGCAACAAAATTTGTGGTAATATGTTATATGGCAATAGAAAACTAATACAGCCATGATGTCCTGGGATTGACAGAAACTTTCCTCTCTCCTCTTTGCTTTCCTATTCTGTCTTTCCTTTTTTTCTGGCTGACTCTCCCATATTTCATCTTTATCTCTCTCTTTCAGAATGCAAATATGCTGCTTGGCTCAAGTCACAGCGCAGGCATGTACCAGCTCCAGGGATGTGGGCCAGTTACTTTACCTTCTGACCTTCACTTTTCTGATCTGTAAATAATAATACTAAAAAGGCTGTAATGAGGATTTAAAGAGATAATACCCATCAGTGCTTAACCAGAGTTTGCGGGTACTGTGAGCAGGGAAAATGCGCAGAAGCTGGGGAAAGTCTAGGACCCAATATGAAGTATGAACTCTAAGCTGGGAGCCCTGAGGAGCCAGACAGGGGGTCTTTGGCTGGATCCTAGCAGTGAAGATGGGTCTAAACTGCGCCCTATCCACTCTTACAAGCCTCACCATGCTGATAATTTGATTTCCTTAGCAGCTGACCTAGGATCACATCTGTCTGGGTGGCCTGGATCACAAGATTATGTGGGTGGGAGCCAACAGAAACCACTGGAAGCTAGTATAAAGACCAGTTGGTTTAACAACCCCTTACTGAGGCCCAAGAAAGAAGAGAATTTGCTAAAGTTAGCAGTTGGACCCAGCTAGCAATCCTCACTGTCAAAGAGCTAATAACCAATGAGGGAGACAAGTCCACACACAAGGAAAGTAAAGGGATGGTGGTGGGGGGGGGGATAATTCCAGAAGGAGCTACATAGGTAGAGAGGAAAGGAGAGGACCCAAGTCAGGGGCATAGTTACAACCAAACACAGAGGTGGAACAGCTTCAAATGCACACATGGGTTAGAAGAGCTAAGATGGAAACGGCAGTGAACTTTGTGATGATCAACTTTGAACGTCCAGCTAAGGAGCTGGAGTAGAGCCATAAAGAGGACGGAAGTGTGATTAACAAACCAGTCCTATTATCCAGGACAGCAGGTAAAATGTGACAATGGTCTGGTGCCATCAGCCCAAGTAGAAGGCTGAATCTGTGGCTTCTAATGGGGGGGGGTGGTTCTCCCATGTGTGAGCCTCCTTGTGCCTCCCCTGCTCCTTCTTCTTGGTTCCTGCAATGACTTTCTTTACCTTCTATATGCCCTCTGGTAGGGGCAGAGGCTTAATCTCCTGATGCTTCTTATTTCTGGATAAAAAGTTTCCCTATTTACAAGTGAGTCCTAAGGTCTAGCACCTGTGGTAATTTTTAAACTAATGTGCAAGTCTGTGTTTTGAGTCACTGAATCACCAGAAGGGGTACTGATGACCTAATAGTTGAGAACACAGGTTTTGAAATGAGACCTGGTTCAAATTGCTTAACCTCCTTGTGCCTCAATTTCTTAATCTGTAAGGTGAGGTGAGTAATTTTAACTACTTGAAGGTAAGCACCGTTGTCAGTTTGGCAGCTCAACATGAGAGTAAGGGGGTATTCTCTAACACCAGCAACCCCACATGCCCAAAGTCTTCTCACCAAGTGATGCAGTGGGACGCTGGTAGCCCCTATATGTCCATCAAAAGTGGGGGGGGGGTGCACCCAAGGGAGTAATATGCAACAACAAGGAGCAAGGAACTACATTTATATGCGAAGCAGCTCTTCAAAACTCAGTATCAAGTAAAGAAAAAAGAAGAAATAGGAGATGTCTAGTACAATGCCACCTGTGTAAATTAAAGCTCGGATATAAACAATGCTATATCAAATGCAGGGAGGGGAAGAGGGCTTGGAATTGGGAGAAAGACAAGAGAAGGGCTTTGCTCTGATGGTAACGCCCAGGGGACTGCGGAGAGTAACGCCACTGAATGCACTTAAAGTAAAAACAAAAACAAACCCCCAAACTAAACCAAATAAAAAACCAACCAAACAAAACCCAGCACAACGCTCAACCAATCAAGGTTCTGTCAGTGACCCGCGCGAACTTTCCCTTGAGTCTACAGGGCTCAAAAGTCCGCCAGCAGCTGCAGGGCCAGCGCGCAAGGAGACTCGCCCTCCTGTCGCCGCCCCTCCTCTGCCCTCCCCTCTCTCCCCTTGCCCCTCTTCCCACACCTACCCTCCACCCTACACTGTGGCCCTGCACAGTGAGCCAAGCTAGATTGGCTCCGCGGCCTCCCGCCCACCGGAGACTTGCCAGGACGTTTGGCCCAGCAGAGAAATAAGGCCTTTGAAAGCTCTTCTGTGTATGGGGCGGGGGGGGAGGGGCAGGAGGAGGTGGGGAGGGGTGGGGAGGGGCGGGGCAGGGGAGAGTGTCGGTGCCTAGTCCTAGCCCTGAGCGAATCCCATCTCTTTCCTCACAGCCCCAGGCCACCAGATAGGACACTGTGGGGACTGATACTGATACAGAGTCTCACCACAACTAGGGTCGGGGCGGTCAGTAACGTGGCCACTTACCTCCGGCCTTAGGGAGACTTGTGGAGCCTAGACCGGGATGCAGGCGCTTTGGGGTCAAATCCTCAAACGCACTGGGCGACCCGCCTTCCCCTTCAGGTTTCAGTTTTCCCGCGTGCAGTGGGAGCGCTGGCTGTGGGTCGGGCCCGGCAGCAGCGAGCGCCAGGCGTCCGGCTTGCCCTCGGCCCGCCCGAGCTCTCTTCCCAGCTGCCTCCCGGGCGCTCCCCAGGACAGCGCGCTTACCTTGGTCTGGACCCTCCAGAGGGCACACTTGGATCTCGCGGCCCGCGGCCGCCGGCTCCGAGGCACAGCCACGGGCCCCCAGGGGCCTCCAGGAGCGCGGAAGGCGCAGGGCGCAGGTCAGGGCGCGCAGCATCGGGGCGCAGTCTGGGAAGGTGCCGCTCGGCCTCTCGGCTACCTCCTCTGCCCCTGAAACTGGCAGCTCGACCCCAGGCGTTCGCAAACTGCTCCTCCTATGGGCCGAGGGCCGGACACTGCTCTCAGCACATCTTGGAGAACAGAAGACCTGAGTAGTGGAAAGCCCAGCTACGCCGTGTGATTTTGGGCAAGACTGCCAACCTCTCTAAGCCCCAGTGTTTTAATCTGCAGAGCGCGCATAATAAAGTGACTGCTGTCAAAGATATAGAAAGCCGGACACTAATCAAATAGTGAGAACAGATTTTAATCGGTAATATACTATTGCAAAAGGGAAATGTCTGGCGTGAACCGAACCAAGTTCTGTTTGTTACAGAGGTGACTTTTTTAAAAAATTGAAGTATAGTTGATTTACAATGTTGTAGTAATTTTTTGTGTACAGCACAGTGGTTCAGTTTTATAAAGGGAGAATGAAGCAATAGGGAGGTGAGTGAGTGCAGACTATGTAGACTTAGGGAAGTGAAAATTTACAAAATGAGTGGAAGGGAGGGTTAGCCCATAGGAATCCATCCTGGGTTTGCTAACTGGCCCTTATGCAAGTTTAGGCTCCCACAGATACTGGAAGACAGGGGCCCTATCTTCAGGTTTTGGCTGGAACAAACATTAAATTCTTTCAGCAGCCTTGGGGTTTCTCAGGCAGGCACGTTAAGGGGGCTAGGGTCATCCCAGGGATGTGGCCTTTGAGTTGTTAGAAACTATGTTAGTGTTCCTATAGGCCTTATAGGTGGAGGATGAACCCTAGTAGAGAAGAGGGCTCAGAGGCCTGACTAGAGTTGGGTGATGGAGGGAGAATCTTTGTCCCTACATCATGATGGTGTTATGATGACTGGTGTGTGTGAACCTTACTTACACATATGCTCAATAAATGTTCTCATAAAAAATGTCATTTCATTTATTCACTTGGGCATAGTGTCTACATTTATGGACTTCACCACCTCACCTCTCATTTGCATCTGAATTCATTCCAATTTTATGCTCAATAATTAGATTGCAAAAATATTTGTGAATGTGAATTCCTAGCTTCTGCCCCTACTTTCCACCTAAACTGCTTTTGCAGAAGTCATCAATGGCCTTGTTTAGTTCATTCTGGGTGGATCAATAAAGCGTGCTCAGTGTACTCTCTCCCCTCCCCCACCTTCCACTTATTGAAGACTCGAACGCCATTAATAATCCTGGCCTCCAACCAATAGCTAGACTGTTAAGCAATCTAGAAGTAAAACTCCCTATTTAAAGTTATTGGTGCTTCTTTTTAAAGTTATTGGTGCTTGTTCGGATCATCACTATGTCTATTAAGGTTTAAACAAAAATGGGATCTAACCTCCTTCATGGGTCTTTAAGTTCCTCTCTGTGACCCTCAAGATTAATTGGGGTTTATTTCAGTCCTGGTCATTTTTTACCTCCTGCTCTTGCTTCCAGTGAATTAATTCAGGTTATGGATCATCTGGCCATTCCTCTTGTCCCTTTTGAGACAGGCGGGAAGGTGGCAGGGCACAGCCATTCAAGGAATGCTACAGCAATTAACATCAAAATGGTGAAAGATTCAATCCCCCAAAGGCCTTGAGGCTCAAGATGTTGGGAAATTTGACTTCTAGCAGATCATGAGCTTCATTATACGCTCATTGTAACATATTACACGATGAGTAAGTAACATGCTCACGGGCCCATGACAGTCCCAAGGCTAGCCACAAAAAGTCAAAGAGTGGGAAATGGCCAGCTTCCTAGGAATCCCAGCCCCTTCTCCAGACTAGTTAGACTAGACCTTCCACTTATTAACACATGAAGCCACTGAGCCCATAAAAACTGGCAACGCGGTGCATCGTGGCCACCTCCTCTCTCTCTCTGGAGAGGGCCCATACTATCTATGGAGTGTGTACCTACTTTTAATCTGAGCACCCAACTCCCACACCTTGTGGCCTTTCTCTTGCCTTTCAACGCATCTCTCTGAATAAATCTACCTTTACTCAACTGTGGCTTGCTCTTGAATTCTTTCCTGCGCAAAGCCGAGGTGGGAAATCCCATAAAAAAGTCAAGCAGGACCCCCCCAGGCAGGGCCACTACTCTCCTGCCAGCACCATCATGTTCCCTGGCCCAGAGGCTCTATTTCACTTTTTGCCTCTGAAATGGCTTACTTCTAGGAAAGTGGAACTTACCCCTAAAATTCTATTGGTTCCCTGAGCTCACTCCAGATTGGTTATTTCCTGCATCCTGATTGGCCCATTTCCCTAACTTCTGATTGGTCCATGTGTAGTACTTCATTTGCATGGAGCTCACTCCTGATTGGTTACTTCTCTCCCTCTTGATTGGTTATTTCTCTCCCTCCTGATTGGTCCATTTCTACAAAGCTTGTTCCTAATTAGTCAACTTTTGTTATACCTTATTTCCATATGATGTTGCTAAGTGCTAACTGGCAGCCTCTAAAAGCCTGTATAAACCTATATTTGGGGTCCAGAGCTTGGAGTGTTAACTCTTCTGGGCCCGCTGGCTTAATAAACCTGAGTTCTCCAACTCTCCGAGTGCTGCTTGGTCTGTCCCTGGATCCAGGTTGCTTTCACAACTGAGCTATAACACTGAGCTGTAAAACATTTTTTCTACACAGAGCCAAGGACCCACACTTGGCAGGGCACGTCCCAGGGGCTTAACGGAAGCCTAGGACATGGCCCTCCTCATGCCCCACATCCGTTTTTCCTGCATCAAGCTGAGAATAGGCACATGGGGCAACTCACATTTTCTGCCACCTCAAGAACTCTTTCAGTATTGATTTTGGGGTTACAAATACATTTTTTGAGTGGGCAAATCTGCAAATTCAGAACCAGCACATAAAAAGCATCCACTATATATATTCACAATATGCATACATATATATACCTTCTATTAAGTGCTAAAGGCTTATTTCTATCATCTCGTTTAATCCACACACATACACACACCACGGGAAAATGAGTTTCAGAGAAGTTAAAAAAGAAGGTCTCACAGCTAGTGACTGAACTTTGGTTTTCCGTTTTAGACATTCATACCGTAAAGTCTGCCCCCTCCCCCCTTGGTGTACAGTCCTATGAGTTTTAACACGTGCAGTGACTCTTCTAACTACCATCAACCGGACACAGAACAACTCCAACACTCTGTTAGCGGATAGAGGGACCTCAAGTTAGAAAACCCACCAAATGAGTGGACAAACCTACCAAACAGGTAGGCAAGGCCCTCCCCTCACCAATCATGTGTAGGTCCTTGCCTGCCATCTAAGAATTCTCAATAGAGGCAGAGGGAAAAAGTGAAAAAAAGAAAGCTGCTTTATTACTCAGAGAGAAAAAAAATCACTCGAGGTGGGAGCCGTCAGCCAGGTAGCTGGTAGGGACTGATCCAGCCCCTGATTGGGTGGGATCTTTTATTGGAAAGCTCTGCCATCATTATCCTCACTTCGGTTGTGTCAATCAGCTTCTATTACAGGCTCCTTCCTCCAATGGAGTTCAGCCCTAAAACCAAAACTTCCGTGGGAGAAAGAGAACAAAGAAAGAGATAATGGGGTATATCCTTGGATCAATGCAGCAATTATGGGACATGAAACATCTTATTGAACGATTATGTTCTTGGGACCAAGGTGCCAGCTGTAAGACTTGGTAAACAACCCGTTTCCTAACAGTCCAGCACTTTCTTTCCTCTGTTATTAATCAGTCAGGGTCAGTAAGCCTGTCTAATCACCTCTCTCAACTCCAAAATTTTCTTAGTGATTTTGTGAGTCCGGTTTCTGGCCAAGCCCTGCCCTCAGTGTCAGGCTTTGCTTCAGGCCACACTAGCCCTCAACGTTCAGAACCTAAACCTGAAGGGCTGGTCCCAGGCTATAAAGCCTTTTTCAAGGGCTGAAGGGCCCTAGGTTTCCAACTCTTCGTTGAAACCGGGCCTGGAGCTTTTTCCACAAACTGCTCCCAGAGGAGC